GCAAGACCGTTTGCGCCAGGCTGACGACGTCGAACATCATACGTATGTCTTGTGGCGAGACACCAATATGTAGTGGGAGCTGTGCAGTGCCAAGAAGATCGAGCAAGAGCGATTGCACCATTCCGATCAATGCTGAGCACTCCAGACTGATCGCCACTCTCTGGCCACGAATAGAACAGCTGCATTGCATTGCATTGCATCTGGACATGGCCTACTTCTCGCTCACGAATACAATGTCAGACAAGCCTTCGACAGAGACATCAGCTGCGTAAGTCTGTGCTACAAACCTACAGTACATCCAGCCTCGCTCGCTTACTAGGACCTACCGTTACCCTGCACAGACTGTGCCGAGCTTCTTCAGTTATAGCGCCATAGAGTTGTCCAGTATCGGGTTTCTGTCTTGCGAGCTGCTTGCCCTCAAAGAGTTAGCATCACAACTGTTAGCCCCGAGACTTGCCATGCAAGATGCCCAGCCCAGGTTCCGCCTGGCGGTCCTACCCTGGTCTGGGTTTCTATTCCAGATCAGCCCTCTTCCAGATTTGAGTCTCTGGTCACAGCGCTACTCATACCAAGCATTGTGTGCACGTGGAGCCATCATCAAACTGATTCTTGCACTAGAAACTCACAGCGTTGCATATAACTGCGCTGCACCTCCATCTCACTTGCAGCTCCACCTCTGTACTACTTACTAGCTTTTTCTTTCATTCTCACATTCGTTACATCCAGCCCACCATGGGTGCAGTTATAAGTACTCCGTCGACAACGTCGAGCATTACCACTTCTAAAGCAACCAGCACCAGCAAGATGGCTTCGTCTTCCGCTCTTTCGACGACCTCCTCTGCTGCGATCAGTACGAGCAGCAGCATCACCAGCTCTGTGATCACATCCAGCAGCAAGGCGTCCACTTCTACTTCTTCCAGCGTTTCTACAGCAATTATTAGCAGCTCATCAACAGTTGTCTCATCTTCATCAGTCGTTTCCTCTTCATCAGTCGTATCCAGCTCAGCTGCCGCTAGCGCATCTGCCTACACCCTGTCCAACAACATCCTGGTCCTTGCTCCAGATGCAGCTACTGGCGTCTCTGGAACTGCAGGTTTCCAGGGTTACGGTATTCCATTCACCCTCGTCACCGTTCCATCGACTGGTGTCACTCTTCCAGCCCTTACAAGCAACAACAACCAGACTGGTAACTTCGGTGGTATCGTTCTTCTCAACGAGCTCTCCTACAACTACAATGGCACATACAAATCAGCCCTGACTACCGACCAGCTTAACCAGATCTACGCCTACCAGGCAACATATGGTGCCCGTATGGTCCGTCTCAATGTCTACCCAGGACCAGACTTCGGTGTGACTACTGCCGTCGCCGGTGCAGGCTGCTGCAACACTGGTGTTGAGCAGTACCTCCGAATCAACGACACCTCCAAGTTCCCAACTGCAGGTCTCGTCACGGGTGCAAACGTCACTACCCAGGGTCTCTACCACTACCCAGCTCAGATCACCAACTCAACGCTCGCCACTGCTTTCGCTAGCTTCGACTCTTCATCCGACGGGACCTTCACTGGCACAACCACTGCAGCTGTCATCAACGACTTCGGCAATGGACGTCAGCAGATGGTTTGGTTCATCGGTTGGGCTGCTGAGTGGTCTGCCACCTCTACCTACCTCCAGCACGCCTACATCAACTGGATCACCCGTGGTCTCCATCTCGGTCGTCGACGAATCTACTACAACACACAGATCGATGACGTTCACCTTATCACTGATATCTACTACCCAGCCGGCAACCAGTTCCGTCTCCGTGCGGCTGATCTCGACGCTCACGTCACCTGGATGTCAAACATCCGATCTCGTCTTCCAGCTGGCTCCAACTACACCGTCGAGCTGGGACACAACGGTAACGGTGATATCGAGGCCGCCGTCTCTTACCAGGACAGCACCACAGGTGCCGCACAGCCTTGCGTTCCAGACACTGCTATCGAGTATGGAGACCAGATCGACACTGCGCTTGAGTTCCAGAAGTAAGTTGCATCATATTGAACATCCTAATCACTGCTAACCTCGAACAGAGTCCTTGGTACCGGCACCAACATCTGGCCATCCACCCCAGCCAACTACACCTGGTCTCTTCAGTGTGCTAAGGCTGACACCCTCGCTAGCTGGTTCATGACTCCAGCCAACTTGAATGCCTTCTTGCACATCTCCCACACTTTCTCTCACATGTCGCTCAACAACGCAACCTACTCTGATGCATACAAGGAGATCCAGTTCAACCAGAAGTGGTTGGCTCAGGTCGGTATCTCCAATGCCAACTACTTCTCCAAGGGTCTGATCCCACCTGCCATCACTGGTCTTCACAACGGAGATGTCATTCGCGCATGGTTAGAGCTTGGTGTGAACATTGTCGTCGGTGACAACACCCGCCCAGTCCTCATGAACTCTCAGAACTCCTACTGGCCATTGATCTCTACATCCGCTGCCAACGGCTGGGATGGTTTGACTATCATGCCACGATGGGCCACCACCATCTACTACAACTGCGACACCGCAAACTGCACTACCCAGGAGTGGATCAACACCTCCGGTGGTAAGGGTAGCTTCTGGGATCTCCTCCAGAACGCTCGTTCTGTGAACACATGGCACTTGTTCGGTCTTCACCACGACCCATTCATGTTTCACCAGGCTAACTTGCGATACACCGACTCGGCCAGCTACACCATCGGTTCTCAGTCCGGGAAGATGTCTCTCCTCATGATCTGGTCTGAGTTGATCCTCCAGGAGATGTACCGTCTCACCACCTGGCCAATCATCACCCTCAAGCACGACGATGTCGGACAGTCTTTCATCAACCGCATGACTCTTGATAACTGCAACCCAAGCATGAACTACCAGGTCAGCAACGGCAAGATCACTGGCGTCACTGTTGCCACTACCAACAACGTCTGTGGCACCACCGTTCCAGTCACCTTCCCAGGTACTGCCTCGACCACTCAATCTGGCACCGTCAACGAGCAGATCGGCTCTGACCCATTGACGATCTGGACTCCAATGACTGGATCACCAGTGTCCTTCACTCTTGGTTCAGCAGTCTCCCTCAACTGATGAGTTTCGCTCGCAATTCATAGCGTTGGCGTTGGTATAATGTGCATGAGCATTAAAACATGCGATCTAATGTGGATGAGAGGATCGTTGTAAATACAAAAAATCCAGAGCTCTACTTTTCTCCCTTGCGTACTGCATTGCATCTACTTTTCTTCCAGATCGCAATCTTTCTATAAGCCTGTACACAATCTCTGATGAATTGGATGCTTCATCGTCAAGGTGTTGTTGCTGATTACCATACTCGTCTGCATTCTCTAATGCAACCACATACCATGCATGTCATTCAAGATTTGCCTTCAGCTATGCATGCCGATCTTCAATAGCATGATAGTCCACGTAAGCTGGACCCATGCGTGCCTCTCGACCAAGCGATCACCGAGTTCATAGCACGCTGCAACCCAACTGATCGTGAAGCTAATGTTGTGACCCACCCAGCAAAGACAGAGATCGCTTTCGAGGCACATCGGCATCAACTTGCTCACAATCGCGCGACTGCGTGTTCACAACTCGGATCCCATCGACGATGGTACACCTAGTCCCGCCGTTAGGCTCCCAGGGGTTGTTGCTGTACCGGAAATACCGTGCCGCCTATATTGCACTCTTGGCAGGGCGCGGCACATCATTCTCAGGGGTTACGCCGAGCGAGCGTGAGTCCAGAAGCTTTTCTCTATTTCAGCCAGCCAGTTTCCGAGCCTCGTAATGGTGAATAGGGCTGAGATCACCATCCGCGCAGGTACGGCCGTGTCTCCATTCGTCATACCATGGCATCTAGAAATTTTCAAATCCGAGAGTACCATTGACTGAAGAGCCCTGCCGTACATGCCGAAGACTGACACTGTGCGTGTAGTCTCTCGAGGACCTCTACTGTGCATCCTAGCACCTTCATGTCACTCTGGGCTGCTCGGTGAGGTCAGAATCGCTTCATGCAATACGACACGATATTGATTGTTCAAGGCCCATCGCTAAGCACATGTACAGTTGTTAAAGTCCCATACGAGCTGCAAACCCTAGCAATGCCAACACATTGTACTTGGTAGCCATTGCTCCTGCACCTCCTGTGTAGCTTGATGGTTTCGTCGGCATGGTCGCCGTGCCTGTGGCGCGTGTAGTCGTGAGTGAAGCCTTCTTCGTGCTTGCTGGAAGGCTACCTGTGTTGTAATCTCCAATGTAGCTGTATACGTAGTGACAGAGCCATTCGAACAGATGTCGTTGGTCACATCAGGATACCGTCCGCGAGTGATATCGGCGTCGTTGGCTTCAATGGTGTGAGCTAAGACAATGCTGCTGATGGCTGTCTAGTCATACACTGTTCGGGAGAAGCATGGCGACAAGTAGAATGAAAGGTGGTGACCATACTACCTGATATGTCATGTCACACTGGCACTCTGTGTATGCTTTTCTGGTCCTGTTGTTGCTCGTTTAATCGTCGCCATGGCCCCAGTGCGCCCATCGACAACGTGGAGCTACGACACGATGCGGGATAGCAAAATGGGTGCTATGTGAATGCCTATGAACGCAGTGCATCCCGTCTTCATTCTGCTGCTCTGGTCAGTATGTTGAAGCAAGTGCGTAAGTTCTTGATAATGGCTGCCATGCTCAACTGATGCATCTCGTATGTGCTACCGCTCTATCGATGCAGGGCTCCACTGTTGGGTTGCCTCGACAATCCGTGAGCAGCCAGATGCTAGCAGATCATCAAGTATTATCCTGTTTGTGGTCGCTCCGCGCGCTGCTCCTCGAGTAGCTGGACTCTATCTAGTCATCAACGACGCCTGACGGGAGTGAGCAGAGACGGAAAGTGGATGTCTCATTCTAAAATTTCGCAGGCAAAAAAGAGCAAAAGGAAATCGCGAGCAGCAAGGGGCTGTATCGCTGATCAGCGAATACTCAATAATGTCCGGATAGGGATGCTCACCTCGAACCCTCAACCTTTGGTGCCGAAAACCAACGCGCTACCATTGCGCCAACCACCCGGAATTAGACGATGCGACTAGGAAACATGAGATATAGCGCTCCAACGTAGCAATGCGATTGCCAGATCGTGGTCCCCTCATGACAGCTTTGAGAATGACCATCGATGAGACATCTTGGATCAGACAGGGTTGAGGTAGTGAGCCACGGGGTTGAGAAAGCCATATCGAGTATGCAAGAGACAATAGCTGCGTTCTGGCACGACTGCACCATCTTTGCGAAGTCCTCGAAACCACAGATGCATATCGAACAATTGTTAAGACACATGATACAGAGGAGGACACTTTGTGCTGTCATCGCGGTCCGGATACCTCATGTCGACATCGCAGTGGTTCGCAAGCTCAACATTGATGAATACTGATCAGAAGGTAGCTCGACGCCTGCTCGGCATTAGTCATTCCTTGGACAAGACAGTAGGCAGTTGACAAGTCCAGTACACGGCAGGACAGAGTATGGCAAATCAGGGATGCAGTCCTCAGACCAATGTTGATGCTTGCAGGGCTCGAAGGTACAACCTCGGCTGTGCATCGATGACAAGTCCACAAGTGCTTCGTGCTCGACATCGTGTACTCATTTGACTGCCAGGTATTCCTTTGTGTGGTCTGGTGAGCCTTGAAATAGTTGATGTCAATCGAAAGTCCCGCGTGGGTGATAGCTGTAGAAGAGAACGACGATTGTCAAGGTCATTGCGTTGGCAATGAACGCTAGTGTCGTTCGCAGAAGCTTCGAAACTGACTGCCGTAAGACAGCTATGTTAGAACTGCATAGCTCGTCTTCGACAGCAGATGATCTGGCTGGTAGTGTTAGCATATGTCAATAGATGGTATTCAGCCCAGATTGTAGCGAGATCAGTCGAGAACGAGGTGTACGCATGCGCAACCTAGCAATGAGGGATTTGTCGTCGATCCAGCAACGTCCGCCTGTTCCACATGGCTCGTATTCTTGCTATGATCTGTAGCGATTGAAAGAGACAGTGGGTAGGCGAGCTGTTTCGTGAGATCGGTGTTCTAGCGAGCGCGTCTTGTGAACGCACAGTCATACTCAGACTTCCCAGGCAAAATCCTACGCGAGAATGTCAACATGCTCTCGTGTAAGACGCGTCCCAACGAGAAGGTGTTGGTGGAATGTGATGGTTTGGTTGCCGGCAAGAAGCTCAAGAGCCTCCGACGAAATATCACATCCGTGCGCGGCGGCCCGCTTGACCACTAGCGTCTGTATCGATCACCTCCCATACAGTGCTGCTAACCACTCTCATGATACAATTCATCTGCTCCGCACACGGCACATTACGAAGATGGCCGAGCATAAGGCTAAGTACCGTACTGAGATACAGCAGGTGAGTCTGGCGTGCTAGTAACGTCAGCACTTCCATCTGACAAAGCTCGTTGCAGATGATGTTCGTTAGTGGTGAGACAGCAGATGTAGCATTAGAGACAACCAGCATGATCGAAGGCATCGTTCAGCAGCAGGTCATGGAGATGGTAAGCTGCTCATAGCTTGCGCGACACTATCGTTAACAGTCACAGCTTACACGCGCCACGGCTCTAGCAGCACGTAGAGGTGTGCGAACAATCGGTACAGACGATCTAATCTTCCTGATCCGACATGATCGTGCGAAAGTTTCACGACTGCGCACATTCCTGTCATGGAAGGATGTCCGCAAGAGCGCCAAGGACAGCGACGACAAAGGTGGTGGAGGAGATGCCGCAGTAGACGATTTCGACCTGACAGCAAACGATCCTACCCTTGGTACTGGCCCTAGTGTCGGCACTCGCAACAGCAAGACCAAAAAAGCCAAGGTCGGTCTTCCTTGGGACGTCTCCAGCTTCTACAACGAACAGGTACCAGAACGCGAAGACGAGGAAGACGAAGAAGAAGACGAAATGACCGCAGCCACTCTTGACCGTTTGAAGCAAGCTGACGAGCGCACCAAGGGCATGAATGCCGAAGAGTATCTTCACTTCTCAGAATGTCGACAGGCATCATTCACTTTCCGGAAAGGAAAGAGATTTAGGGAATGGGCTGGATTTGGTGTGGTAACAGACTCGAAGCCCAACGATGATATCGTCGACATACTTGGTTTCCTCACCTACGAGATTGTCACATTGCTCACGGAGGAGGCGCTGAAAGTCAAAGCTACTGAAGACGCTCAAAAGCGTGAGAATGGCGGTGATGAGGAGAAGCGTGGTCGAAAACGACGTCGAGAGCCTGGTCTGTTCGATCCGCCTGAGGAAGCTAGAACACCTGTAGGCCCTCGGCATATTCAAGAAGCATATCGTCGACTGCAGAAGCCTGACCTCAAATCTCGATACATGCATCATGTACCGAAAGGTACATTTCAGCGTCCGCTGAAGCTCATATGATATGCGGGAGAAGTGTTGTCAGTTGGAGAGCCAGGATAATGCTTGGTCTCAGCACATCTAAGGCTTCTCGTATCCCAATCAGCGTATCGCCCAGGGACTCCCTAGCAACAGGAAGAGCAGCTCGATCCTTGCACTATCAATGTGTCAGTCACAAGCGTCAAAGAGCACATTCTCAAAACTTGCCTGACCATCACAGCGCAGCTTCCGCATCACCAGTCACAGGCAGCAGAGAGCACATCAGCAAGCTCTTCGAGTCTCGCCTGATCCTCTTGATCAAAACCAGCCTTCACCGCGCAATCAATATCGATGATAGCTACGACCTAACGACAGTCAGTAAGTGGCTCAGCATTTCAGCATTACATCACCTTGCCAGCCTTGAGGATGGGCACCACGATCTCGCTCTGGGAATCGCCGTCACATGCGATATGTCCTGGAAACTCCTCAACATCAGGCACGAGCTGTGTCGTAGCAGTAGAAGCCGCTGCTCCACAAACACCACGACCAAATGCTATCGTTTGGCATGCGACCTGTAGTGATGAGCACATCACGATACACTCTTGACAACGACAGAACGCACCTTGCCTTGAAAGGGTCCTAGTATGAGCTGGTCGATCTTCGAAGGATCAAGGACATAGAATCCCGCCCAATTCACACGATTGCTCGGTTCTGGCAGAGCATGAAGTGCATGCCATAGCAGTGAGGCTGCATTAGCAAGATTACTGTTGGCATTAGATGGGTCGACATGCACGCTCTCACTAACCAGACCTATCGCTATGAGTTGATGAATACAAGGATTCTCAGTGCTTACCCAATTCCTCTGATCTTCGCAGAGTGCCTTTGTCTGGTCTATCACCTGTCGATAGGCATCTTGCTTGCTTAAATCCGAAAGAAAGTTCGAAGAGTCAGCGTGGACCTTCGATCGGTGTCAGTAACGGGCATGTCAGCTGCGGCTCGCCTCCTACCATTGTGGCTGTCGTATTGCACAGAGCACATCTGAGCGTGGGTACGAACACAAATCGTACAGTCAAAATGATGGTGTGATCAGCGCCGGTGCAATTTTTCGTCCGGTCCTGTTATCATCCGTAGGTTGTTTTCTTCGCCTCCACGCCATCCGACCCGTGTAAGTATAGGATCAGATCCAACAGTGTGCATATGACGGTGATATCGGCGACTGTATACCGTATTGCGGTGTCTACCTGTTATACAGCGCCGATCATCGCTGGGTGAGGGGCCATCAGTATAAAGTCTATTGAGCTTCGCTCTAACATACAGCTCCATCTTGCCTCAACAACCACGACAATGCCACTCAAGCAGTGCTGCGCGACTGGGTCTCTCCACACAGGTACACCTACCGGAAAGCTTGGTAAGATCCATGGGCTGGAGTGCTACACCGCAGAAGCAAGTGGTGATCCAAAAGGTATCATAGTCATCATACCAGATGCTTTCGGGTTGAGCCTGGCGAACAACAAGATCCTTGCCGACGATTACGCAAAGAATGGCTTCACAGTGGTAAGGAGGTGTTTCCTGCCCTGCTACGGTGCTGACCGATTAGTATCTTCCTGATTTCATGGAGGGCATTGAGCTACCAGAGGGCATTCTGCTCTCCATGAAAGCATTCACCGCTACAGGACTATGGAACCAGCTCTACAAGATCGCACATGCACTCTACATTGCTCGATACGTCATACCATGGATGTATTACAATCGCAAAGCCGTTGCTCGACCCAAGATCTTCAAGTGGCTCCAGGACCTTCGTAAGAACGAGGCTGCCAATCTCCCACTCGGTGTCGCTGGCTTCTGCTGGGGTGGTCAGCATGTTGTCGAGCTCTGTTGGAATGAGCAAAAGACTCCAGATGGCAAGCGTCTGGTCGACTGTGGCTTTACTGCTCATCCATCAATGCTGGTCTATCCCGGCGACATCGACAAGGTTATCCTTCCTCTTTCTATTGCAGCATCTGAGCACGATCCACAGATGAGTCCGGAGAATGCCAAGCAGACCGAGGAGATCTTGAAGGGAAAGACTGCCAAGACCAAGGATGAGGGGATTGTGCATGAGTTTGTCATGTATCAAGGTGCTCATCATGGTTTTGCTGTACGAGCGGACGAGGAGGATAAAGAGGAGGCTGCACGAGGCAAGAAGGCTGAAGAGCAGGCTGTGGCATGGTTCTCGAGATGGTTTAAGGATGTCCCTAAGGTGTGATGGAGGACGTTGAGAGGCGGCCCATACAGCATCAGACGAGGTGAAGAGCAGGTCGTTGCTGGTATTGATAATGTTATCAAGGATAACGTACGTGCATAGGATTCGTCTCCTGCTGGTTTCCATTCTGTTCTGGTCTAAGGAGAGTGTGTAAATCGGCTGTGAGATCTTCGAATTGATCTTCGAGCCGCCCCATCGTCCATGCGATTCACACCGAGCTGAAGCTGGCTAGGGAAGAGGAGTTTCGAGAAGTGGTATCAGACTCGTCCAGGTTCTGGTCCGAACGAGACGTGTCGTGGTGCTTGCTACTCTTGACAGGTACGTGACGGGCGTGCAAGCGTCTCGTCGTTATCGCTATGCTGGTGACTTGTAGGAAGTTGGGCAGGGTAGAGGAGTTTCGAGATGGTGCAAGGCGCTCCCGAAGACGTAAACTTCGTCCTTA